TGGTGTTGATGAAAGTACATTACACGTTATTGATACAACTATTGGCACAAAATGAGTTATTTTGAGGAGTTAGAATATGCAATTGTGTCACTCATTTGTTAAATTGTTAGCAAATCAATATTAAACAATCATCAATTATCTTGCATCGTCTACTTACGAACATTACACAGTTACTTGGGTTTTGCCCTCGCTCAATATCTGGACGTCCTGACCAGTAAATRACCTCTATATATGACACATGATCCCATACAGTGCTCAGTAAAATGTGTATTAATTTTTCAACCTCTTCCATACAATATATTCCAAATGAAGTGGACTGTTCTTTATTGTTTCTTTTTAATTTAGTTGCATTCAAAGTATCATCTTGTTTTTGCTAAAAATTTCTTTTTGTATTTTAACTTTTTACAGCGCTCACTCCCCTAAACCGCAGTTGTATGAATGGCAAATAAGCACTATCCAGCAGATGAAATTCATACAGATTACACGATTCAGTTGCATGAAGCTTAGAAATGTACGATAGAGTTATCCACTGGATAAAGACTAGTTACGGATAACTATTCACTGGATAGGGCTTTTATCTGTTGGATGGTGCTTATACAACCAGGTCGTGAACTACAATGTAATGATCATGATGATTCAGTAAACAAATCATCATTAATTACGTAATCGAAAAGTGACATTTTCTACTTTAAAGCTTACAACCTCTCAGTTGAATATGAAAAACCAAAGCAAATACAGTGACTGTACTCACAATAAAGATCGGCCGTGTGGATTGTGGCAGTACCGTGTTTGAGCATTTTCACTGAATGAGCAGTGATGTCATGCACTGTCACTTGTGACTGGTTGAAATTCTATACCATCCTGGGAGGGGGGAGTAGGGTGCATGGTATCATGCCTCAAGCCATTTCACAGTTAAACTACATCTAGAAATGCAAGATTTTGATGTTGTTAACGTCATACTTGACTGAGAAGTCTACTAAGCATGGACTGACAAAAACACCTCCATCACACATTTGTTTTACATGTACAGTAAAGACCTGATCAAAATCCTTTACATTACACCACAATTATTGTTTGATCAATTCAAATAAAATWTAAATTTAAATTCCAGAGAAATACTCTAGCTGACTGTAAATACACATCTTCCAATTTGTTTCCTAGTTTTCACGAAAAATACACTTGTAGAATTAAACTGTCCTTGACAGTGACCTCAGACCTTAGTGATGTACTGTCATTGTACTATTTTCAGCTGTCTCACCAGTTTGCATATGTGAAAAGCAAAATTCGTAACATTTTCCAGCACACTTAAGTATTTTAACCCTATCTCATTGTATGCTCCCCTGATTTACAAATCGTCTCCTTGGTTTCCTCGTCTCTCCCCTCCCTTAAACTTTGTGTTTCTTTTGAGAGCTACAACCAGTTTGCCTCCATTCTCTTATAGCGATACTTCATGTAACATACTGTAAGTCTTCATTATTCATGTGCCAACCAGAGATCAATGGGCTTGTGACACAAAGCAACTTGTGACAAGCTTTTGTGATCAAAATGGTTAGCATATTAACATCATGATTTTGTTAGTAAACTTGAAGCATTGCTTTAGAATTAGTTAACTGAGACAAATGAAAAGATTAAGCACAGATACCACTAATGGGAAGCTATTCCTAACAGCATATTAGTACAAGAAAAAGTTGTTTRGCAGAGAGGGAGGGTTACATGTAGTAGAAAAGGGTAAGAACAGCCCCTACAGGTCGTGCTAAAATTCTACAAAGATTTTTTTCTCCCTTAAAAGAAACTATTTTATAAGCTAGCAAAAAAGACTTTTGGTGACAGTATAAAACAGTTCAAATAGTCGAAGTCGTGTCATTCTTCTTTACAGGATATAAGTTACTGTATTTATGTTGCTTTGGCGTAAAGCCTTGTCCATGTTTTAGCTGAAAACAATAAATATAGGTTATTAGAAAGTGATACAGCTGTGTATAGTTACAAGTATGAGTCATACTGTATTTTGGTGAGCCTTTATAAGAAAAAAAATACCAGTGTCAAGTAAACATGCACAACCATATTACATGTAAATGCTTAGCCATCTACCCGGAGGGGGGGGGGTACTCCCCTATATTCGCTATATGGGTACATGTACGTGCTGCCAAACAGGGTATGGTTTTCAGCGATTCTACTCTGGAACAGGGTATATAAAATTGCACTCGCTCTGGGACAGGGTATATGAAATCATGCTCTCTCCTCTCTGGAACAGGGTATCTATTTTCGCAATACTGGAACAGTTTAAGGTTTTCAGTGATCTTGCTCTGGAACAGGATATAAATTTYATCGATTTTACTCTCGAACAGGGTCAGGGTTCAGAGGGCTCGGCGGCACATCCCTACCCTAAATGGGCAAGAGTAGCCCCCAGGCCATCTACTTGGTCGTTTCTAATACAATTTTGCAAAGATGTTTGTAAATTTCTACTTTTCATACTTAATTCAAACTGTACCTGACATTCAGTTGATTGACTGTTACTAACACAACAGTCTCATATTTTGTACTTTCTTGTGCATATTTGTGTGTGTTCTTTGTAGAATTGTTTATTTATAAATTACATTGTTCCAACCCTAATTCCTTAATCTAAAGGCTCGCCTGTCAATATTACTAAATCATAGAATAGTTTATAATAGTATATTATACTATTGATAGGACCTCAAAACAACAATGCTGCAAATTACTGCCAGTCATCAGACAAATATCTGGATTCACCTTGGCCAGATATTTGACCAGCAAAAATTTTGACTTTTATGGGTCAAACATGCCTCTAGCCTGACAAAATGACCAGCAGCTTATTGTTAAAAATTTGCAGCTTTGAAACAGTATTCTAAAACTCATGAATATTTAATGAGGAGAAAACAAAGCAAATCACTACCGTGACGGTGGTTTGGAAATGTGTTCTTAATTTGCATTAAATTTCGTAAACTTTTTCTTTGATTTTCTCCAAGAAATATTCATGAGTTTGAGAAGTAATTTGAAACACATGAGAGAGTTCTTCCTCTGATTTCCACACGCCTCAAAGTCAGTTTAAAAAACTCAGCTGCGCCCTGTTTTTTCAACTCACTTTTCGGTGTTTGGAAATCGAAGGAAGAACTCTCTCGTGTGTTTGAAATATTACTTCTACTTGATGACTTATTTTATTCCAAATCACATACCAGTTTCAATAGCTTGCTCCTCGTTAACCTTCCACTGTTCTGCCACATCATTAGCCAGTGGATCGTCAGGGTTAGGAGCACTTAGTAAAGCTTGAATTGAGAGCAGAACTGTGCGGATCTGTAAGGCAGGGCTCCATTTATCTGAAATCGAGATAACATATGTATTGGTTATTGTGTTAATTGAAATAAAATAAAATAGCCAGTCAATGATTTGCCTCACCTCTAGGGTTTTAACTTCAAYTTCTGGACTCAAAATTATATGTGAGAGTTTGTCAGGTCCCTCCTTTGATTGAAGGGTTTTCCTTCCAAAATCTGCCAAATTCCAATCCAATCTGTGAGTTAGCCATGCCCTGACTTATATCAGCCCAGAGGTCATTTTAGGGTATCAATAAAATTTGGAGTTTTTCTTTCAAGATTGTTTAGGATTTAAATGATATATGAAAAAGTGAAAAWATATTTTTAAAATTTTCTGCATAGTTGGACAATATGTATTTCTTAAGAAACAGAGTAAGAATTCTTTACATATCCAATCTGAACGCTTTAGATTTGTACAACTTATCTTAGACAATAACATTTTCCCTTAATTAATAACAATGAATATATTTCATGGGATTCATTATAACCAAATAATCACAAGTACGTACGAGTCGCAAAAAATAACATATGTTAGAGGTGGTTCACTAAATTCTAGGATCAAGTATTACAGTGTGTAATCTCTAATATAATAAATATATTAAAATTGAACTGATGAAGAATTTAAATCTTACCTTTCAAAATGTCCAAGCAAATTCGTCCTAACTTGTCTATATTGGGATGATAAATTTTCGTCATGAATCTGACTTTTGGAGGAGCCATTGGGTAATCTTCGGGCAGAAACAGCTCCAGYTTGTATGTGCCACCTTCAAAGGGAGACTAAAAAGGAGAAAAATAGAGTTTTTGTCAAAGATACAGGTACATGTATTAAATACCACTCCATGATCAGAGAACAATCAATCTCCTTGTTTGGTAGATATTCACGGTTTAGTTTTACTTACATCAGACGGGCCGTTGACTATAACGTGAAAATATCTAGCATTGTGTTCATCTGGGACAGCTTTAATACCAGGCACAGGCTCTGTCATTAATCTCTGTGTCTCCTAAACAGAAAATTTCACACAATGAACAGGAAGATTTATATGACTTTGTGAACAAAACCATACTCGACTTACAAACCGCAAAATGTGTTAATAAAATAGCATAAAATCTCTTAAAATTAGGAAATAGAGTTACCTTAGTAATCCTTCTAGGCAGTCCTCCACTCATTATTTAATAATCTGTCGTTTGAAAGGACTTTTTTCGAGGATTTTTGGAGCTGACCTTCGCCGGTTACTAATATCTTGTACTTCGAATTGAACCCAATGAAAGCAATAAGGCCTTGTGGGTAAAATGAGACCTGTCAGCAGAATTCCCCACAGGATACCCAACAGCAAAAAACATRAAAAAGAAATATATAAAAGAAATTCATCAAAAGGATTCTTATTTGACGAGACTTTGGCTTTCAAATACAATTAAGAAATGCATTTTGAAAATAGTATTCTTCTCTTGTGCATAGAATGAAGCGATCTGGTGTTGGGGGAATCCACCACAGGGTGCCCAACAGGGAACTTGGATAAATAAAAATATCAGAACAAAGAAAACAAATTCATTAAAAGGATTTTTATTTTAATAAACTGCGCAAAATTTTGGCTTAAGAAATAGTATTTTCGGTCACAAATTTTTAGATAATTGAAAATTATGCTGGTTCCCAGTCTTCCTCGTTCATYGCCTCGTTCATTGACCTCCAAGATGGCGGAGACAGAGCAGGCCATTCCTGATCAGGTACCTTTAAATCTGAAACGAAACCATATTTTGCTCATTTGATTAAACATATTGTATGAACTTTTACTTTCTAATGTAAATTCTAAAGGAGATTTGAATCACGGACAAAGTAATTCTGCCCTGCGTGCTTTCACGTACCAACTTTGAAACCGGGCTTACAAAAGRAAATAAAGATAGCTTTATTAAAGTTAAATTGCTTGACGATTTTAGCATAAGTTCTTTCTTTTTTTTAATTAAAGTTTTTATGTGCTTTATGTGTTTCATTTCCGATAATTGATTCCAAGACTTGTGAACTTGGGTTGGGGGAGGGGGAGGGGATGTTGGAGGTAAACTGCCATAAAGTTAGGAAAAGTAAAATTAAAAAAAAAACTATTTAGCTTGTCATTACACAAAAAGAGGTATAAATGACATTGGTCAATGCAATACTTTGTGAAAACTTCAAATTCTATTGATAACCTTCAAATTTTATTGATACCCTGATTGAGACTCTTCCCAATTAAATGCTCAAMCTTAACGGGTGCCAAAAGGCACATAATGCTGCTTACCATTTCCCATTTTCTAGTGACGATTCCCATTTTTTCTGTCAGGGATTCATTGATCATGCTACTCAGATCTACAAAGAGTTGTCCTCCATCCCCACCATCACTGGTGGAAGCCTTTACACCAAGAAGAATGGGAAAGATAATGAAGCCTTTGAATTTGTGGTAACATCAAAGTGGAGCCAGAGAGATTTAGAGAAGAAGGAGAAAAGAGTATTTCAAAGAAATCACATAGCTACTTTTTCTGGAGATTCAAGAAAATTGATTTCTGTTCAAGAACCATCTTTTCCTGTTGAATTACAAAATGTGTAGGTTGAAACTATACGTGCCTGTTGTCTTCAAAATTAATTCAATTCTGATAAAATGTTCCTCGCTCTGCTTTATTCCTTCCCTTCCTTCCTTCCTTTCTTCCTTCCTTTGAAGCCATTATCCCTTATCTTGCTCATCAGTTCTTCTCTCTTTCCTATATTTTCATTCACTGTTACTCTAGTTCCAAAACATATTCCATGAGTTTGATCTTGGGTAATGCTATTTTAGGCAATTGTCAAGTACTTCACCCTCAGGAAAATACCAGGCTATTATTAGAAAGATTCCTGCTACTAAGAAGGATGATGAAAAACAGTTCATTGAGGTGATGTGAAATATTTTGTGAAATCAGCTTCAGCTGTATTTTGAGTTGTGCATGTTAGTGCAGAGCCCATACATTAAATTAATGATGGATTATTTTTCCTCATGATAGATCTGGTCATGTAACAATATTATCAAGTCCATTGATATAAAGGCTGCTGATAAGCATGGGGATATCAATGAAGACTGTAAGCTTCTTAGGGTTTCCATTTTCCATTCATCCATCCGTTTGCCCATCCATCCATCATCCATCCATCCATCCATCCATCTGTCCATCTATCCATCTATCCATCCATCCATCCATCCATCCATCCATCCATCCATCCATCCATTCATCTATCTATCCGCCCATCCATCCGCCCATCCATCCATTCATCCATCCATCTATCTATCCGCCCATCCATCCATCCATCCATCCATCCATCCATCCATCCATCCATCCATCCATCCATCCATCCATCCATCCATCCATTCATCTATCCTCTCATCTACCCACTCACCTACCAACCAATTAATCATTTTCTCCAAACATATGTTCTAAGCATTACATTTTACCCCACATTTTTCTTCAGCTCAATTTGGAAGCCTACAGTGGTCTCCATCAGAAAAATATCTTCTTTATGTGGCAGAGAAGAAGAAACCCAAAAAAGTGTCCTATTTTGACTCCAGCAAATCAGGTACACATTCAAGTTACTTCTTGTTATATATTATATTACTGGGAAGTCTCTCACCTCTGGAGTCTCAGGTTTGATTCCTTGACTTGGTAGCACATGCCAATAGAGTCTTTTCCTCCCTCCAGAAAACTAAACATTCTTAATCCCAATGCAATCTCTGAATTAGCTGTGCCCTGAGTTTGATCAGCCCAAAGGTTGTTTTAGGGTATCAATAAAAGCTTAATTTTGTTTACTGTTATGTGAAATKATTTGCTTTTATAGAGTTTTCCAGTGTGTTTCAAATCCAAATCCCTCATTATACTCATCGTTTGCTTTTGTTTTCCTATCCTTCGTCAGAAGAAAGCAGTGAAAAATCAAAACCAGAAACGGTAAGATTGGCTTATTCATAAAAAAGCCAAATTAAAGAGGTTTTGTATCTATTGAAAATTGGTATTTAAATATACTTATTCATCGTTGTGCAATGTTGTTTCTTATTTCAGACCATGTGTCATTSCCTAGAGTATCATATCTTTGTTTAACGGTTGCAAGTAAGAAGATAGTACATGAATATGGTTACAACTCAAACAAATAATCTTTTTCTCAAGAGAATGAGATGTGGTCTGAAATGGAACAAGATGACACCAAGACGAGTAAGGTCTATATGGGTGGCAACAACTGGCCCAGTGAATTGTTTACTTTCCGCGAGTGCATGTCCTATAGCAAGTCCTACATGTCTAGATACTGGTTGGATTCCTATTGATCCCACATGTGATCAATAGATTAATGCCATTTTCTCCCTTGACACAAGTGTTTTTTTCCATATTTTCCTTGAAAAAAAGGGCCCTAAATCAAAGTTTTATCTATTTGGTCACAGGGCTTCCAGTTCGACTATGAGAGTGACTGGGGAGAACTACTCGTCAAGAAGAGTCACCCTATCCTTACCGTTCTTGACATTCACAAAGGTGACATCAGCGTCATTGATGGCATTCCTGATGACTTATCTGTTGGCCAGGTTAAAATCCACTGTATTTATTAAATAAACACTAAGTTATACAATGGTTTCGAGTGACATACCATGGAATATCCCATAAAGCACTTGTTTTTTGAATTCTATTAATATGTCTAGGTACAAAAGCCTTCAGACTAGTGAGTATACATAAAAATACAAATAGAAAGTGGGATATTTCATGGTGTGCAGAGTACGAGAAAGCTTTGTGACACTAATTTTTTCTACGCATTAAAAATACATTACATTATATCACTAAGGGACTGATCCTAATTTATGGGGGAGTATATAGATTTCAAGTTTTAAAACAACACCAATTTGATGCGCCACTTTGTAAACCTGTATATTGTATAAACCTTTGTAAACCTGTAAATATTTGTGCACTTCCCCATAATTGCAGAAAGATAATGATTATGAGCAAGTAGTTGGTTCCAAAAAAATTATGTCATATTATAAAGCTTTCCTCCCCCCTCCCCCACTCCATTGTTGCTTCATAGCATCAATATTCAATTTTTAATTAATAGTAACATGTTTTATTGAGTAAAGTGTATTCTGGGTTTATTTTTAATGTTTTCATTTTTATTCCCTAATAAGGCCATTTGGAATCCAGGAGAAACAGGAGTGGTGTTTTCGGGGTGGAAGCATGAACCTTACAGACTAGGATTGATCTACTGCACAAACAGAAGGTATTTTGAATAATAACTCTATATAAAAACCTGCTAGGCCTTTTCATCCCTTTAACAAAGGTTAAGCAGTTTTTTTATAAACTTGCTCTTTTGAAGTCAAAGTATCTTTTCCATACTTTAGTGATTGCAATTAATAATATATACGAAATGCAATGTCATTTTATAGTTTGTTGCATTCTAGGTTTTGCCTAGATCTCTAGTATATAGAATGCTAGTTTTTACCCATACTTAACCACTATGCACTATGTTAATCATGCAGCTCAGAAAATACCTACGTTTAATTTAAGCTAACTTATTTTTGCATCTTTACAGGAGCGGGATTTTTCACATCTCCTTGGATGGAACCAATTTTGGTAAGCAAGGATGATTTTTGTAAAAAAATAAAAGTGAAAAAGTGTACAAAAAATAAAAAAGCCAGACTAACAGAAGAAAGAAGCTGCAAGGGTATAGGATAAAGAGGGCTTTTTTTCTGCTGTTGTGAAAGATTGCACACTATTCAAACTTTTATTACTGTCAAACATTCTCAGTAACCATGCATGCCAGGAACTTGTCATCAGACATTTTGAATTCATAATGTGACCAGCCTTTTCGGCATATAATAAAATCCTCCTCTAAAAATTGTGTCAATAATGTACTGTGTTAAAAATACTTATTTTCTGATGAAAAGTCTTTCCCCGATTAGTAGGGCACTTGTGCCCGGCTAGAAGATTAGAGACTTTAATAAAGTTATTATTATTATCATTAATTTGTCAGAGCAATTAAGCCTCCCAGACAATGCTGTTTTAAGTCCAAGGTTTAATCCACAAATGGATAAATTGGTAAGTTGGATTATATWGTATTCTTGTACAACCTACCATTTTCAGACCATGTGTCATTCCCTTGAGGATCATTCCTTTGTTTAAATGTTACCCATGAGCACAAACATGAATATGGGTATGACTAAAACAAGGAATATTATTCTTAAGGGAATGGCATGTGGTCTAAAGTCGGAAAACAATGGGCCTAAGTTAAAGAGGGCTATTACAAAATCCTTTGATTATAAAGTACTTTGCATTGCTTATTGTAGATTTATCTAGCAAGAAATACCAAAGGCGTACACGCCTGTTGTTTGAAGTTAATGGAGGTATGTGAACAATATGTGAGATCTGCAGTGCTTTTAATTGCTTTTATAGCTACATAGCTATATATAGCACCTTTAACTTTCCACTTCTTAGGGTGTGTCTCCCACCTCTCCACCCTTCAATACCCTGCCCTAACCTCTGCACACCCTCCATACCCTGCCTCTACCTCTTCACCCTCCAATACCCTGCCCTAACCTCTGCACACCCTCCATACCCTGCCTCTACCTCTCCACCCTCCAATACCCTGCCCTAACCTCTGCACACCC